TAAATGCATTATCCTACCTTAATGGAGACCTGGTACCGGTTTGCAGTGCAATGCTATTGCAATCAGGGTCTGTACTGTAGTATTGCAATTAATTCTGAAGACTGAATACGTGAAACTCAATCCTACAATGCAAAAAAGCAAATAATGGACATTTTCAGTTTGGCAGGTAAGCCAAAAAGTTAGTTTGGCAGGAAAGGTATGAAATTAAAGGGTTTTTCCACAGTGTTCAGCTTTTTAAATCAAGGTATTTTTCTGAAATAAAATGGTATGCTCAGTTTTGGCTTTTTTTTTTCAGTTTAAAGTCAATTTTTAAACAAATGAATGCTAGTTTGATGGAAATTACGTAATTTGATTAAAAATTGAATGCTTCAGCATAACCTAAACAATCACTCAACTCCCAAAACTTCAGATTCAAACTTTCTGTACAGTTTTGTTGCTGAAACTAGTGATTAAATTAAACCCCAGATTCATTAATTCTTTCCAGAAATGCCCCAAATGCGGTCTCTCCCTGCTGTGAATTGGGGGAAGCTTCATACACGGCTTGATTTTGATCAGCTCACGTGCCAGAGTGATGGCACAGTAATGTGGAGGGAAGAACTACAGTGTATCTAACGCTTGTTTAGGTACCTTGTAGGAAGTACCAGTTAATGACAGTTCTTTGGTGACATTACTGAGTATCACAGACCTTATTATTGAAGCTAAAAGGAATGGGAAAGAGTTCAAAAAATAAAAGTGAATGCTGCAGGGTGCATAGCATTGGTTAAAGAAGATGCTGCAGAAGAAGAGTTCAGTTTGCCATTACTGCTTTTCCCAAAGGGCCATCCGATGGGATCCATATGAAATAGGTATTTTCTAGTTGCAGTGATGCTGACTTCATCTTTCCAATGACAGCTTAAGCTGTTTTTTTGTTTGTTGTTTAGTTTTGTGTTGTTTTTTTTCCTCTCCAATGAAGAGGTCTAGGGTTGCTGTTTTAGCCTTTTATTTTTCTCCCTCAAAAAAAATGCAATTAAGTCAAAAGGTTTTAGCCTTGAATACTTACAGTTATGAAGTGATAGATGCAGAAATATTAGCCTTTATATCGGGTGTCTGTGGTGAGGTGTTGGGAGTGGAGAGAGGTGGGGGTCTGCAGGGGTGGCTTCTGTGAGGAGAGGCCAACGCTACCAGGTGTTGGACACAGCTGGCCCCAACAGACCCACTGCAGGGCACAGCTGAGCCCCTCAGCTGTGAGCGGGGTGCCTCTGGGAAAGCATGTGTAAGAAAGGGTGAAACACTGCATGGCATTGAGGAGTGAGGAAAAAAATGTGAGAAACAGCCTTGTGAACATCAAGGTGGGAGGAGGAGGTGCTGCAGGTGCCAGAGCAGAGATTCCTCTGCAGCCTGTGGAGAGGAGACCATGGTGGAGCAGGTATCCACACTGCAGCCCGTGAAGGACCCCACGCTGGAGGGGGTGGAGATTTCCTGAAGGATCTGTGGCCTGTGGAAAGCCCACACAGGAGCCAGGCTCATCCTGAAGGACTGCAGCCATGGGAAGGACCCATGCTGGAGCAGGAGAAAAGCGTGAGGAGGAAGGAGAAGCCGGGAAGAGCTGTTATGGGCTGACTGCAGCTGCCATCCCCCTGTGCTGCTCAGGGCAAGGTGGGGAGAGGTAGAGGAGTTGGAAGTGGAGTAACAGGAATGAAGTTGAGCCTGGGGAAAAGACAGGGGCAGGAAGGTGTTTTAAATTTGGTTTTCTCCATCCAAAGCTATTTTAATTGCAACAAATTAGTTTTCCCCAAGTTGACTCTGTTTTGCCTGTGATCATAATTGGTAACAGACTTTCCTGTCTGTATCTTGATCCATGAGCTTTTTCATCTTATTTTCTTCCCCTGTCTTGTTGAAGAAGGGCAGTGAGAGAGTGACTGGGTGGGTGTCTGGCAGCTGGCCAAGGTCAACCCAACACAACCCTAAAGGCTTTTTCAAGTTTATGTAAATTGTGGCTCTATTTACAGTCCGAGGCTATGATTTTGCTTGAATGAATACTCCTGCTTGCTTCTTCAGGTCCTTCTTTAGGAATAATTTAAAAAAAATGTGCCTGGCATGCATTTACACTCCCATGCATTTGCATGTCTGTGTGAATGATCTGGCTTTACGGAAGTAGTTTACAGTGCATAATATGTATACGTAAATGTTTTATATGTAGGTTCATTTATGTCCTTCAGCTTTTTCTGTTACAGTCATTAAATACATGGGACAAAACTACACATACCAAGTTGCTGCATTTAAGTTTTATCCTCTGTCCATTGCAGTTATTCATGCTGTTTTAGTATGGCTTTGCAGTAAGCATCCATACCAAATAAATTTGCTCTTGAGCATTTTATGCTTTTATTAAATATTCATTAAATGTGATGCATGGCATTCATGCAGTCTGCTGCTTAGTGCATTGAAACCCCAGAAAATGCACTGTTTATAAATTCTTTATGCAGAATGAGCCAAGGTTTTCCTCCTCTACTGAAACATGTCAGGGTCCAGGACACATTGCTATCAGTGTACTGTTGTTCTGCATGCAGGACTGATTTGGAAGGTTTAAGACCTGGAGAATGGGTACAGCAATTCCTGTGCACCCTTAGTGCAAGCTGCAGTGTCTCTGACCTGCTGTTCCTGATAGACTAGGAAGGGTTATAAACGAGATAAATAGATGTTTTCTTGCTTCTGTATTGGTAATGTCAAAGGTAAAAAATAAGGACTTTTGGACAGGTTAAATGGGTTAATTTTTGGCCTCAGTCATGCTCATACATCAGTCAAGTTCAACAAAGGGTAAAATTTGTCCTAAGTGTCAAAAATTTATGCTGGATAAAAGTGGTCTAGTGATAAAATATCAGACTTACTTTTAACTGCTTTTCTCTCCATAGTAAGCATTAGTCAGAACACCTCTAAGAATGTAATTTTTGTCCAGAATGGATTTTCATGTTAAAAAAAAAAAAAAAAAAAAAAAATCTCAAGACTCTTGTTCTCCTGAAACTGGGAGGGTGAGACACTAGCTATGTTGGAGCTTTTCTCACCATGCAACCACTTGTACTCATAAGCCTGACTATCTGTTTATGAGTTCCTCCCCAGAAAGGTGATTGAGTTTGTCCATGGAGGTACCAGCTATCTAGATATTACAGCCCTACAGAAGTCTGGTTAGGATGTAGCATCACTGTGATGATACCCAGCTCCTACTGCATATATAGTGTATGATGAATGGCCAATACAGGAAGCAGCCTGGGTGCTGTGTGTGATCAACTGCTTGTTCTAATAGAGAAATATTGCTTAATCTGAAACTGAAGACTGGGAATTTTTGTTTGGTTTTGTTTGTGTTTTGTGAGAGGTGTGATAACAACAGATAGCAGGGAAAAGCATCCTTAAGAGTGCTCAGAGAGGTGATTTTAATTTTTTTTTTAAAGTGTTTATTTACAAAATAAGCTTAGGCTGTGAAATCCAGCTATGGATTTCCTGTTACAAACTCTGATTTCTTTCATTTGGGGCAAGATACTGCTGAAGCCTGCTTTGGGCTGTATACAGAGCGTATTAGATAAACAGTTGCTTTGTGGTTTTTTTTATATAATAGTCTAGTATCATTTGGCTGCTACCACAAAAAAAAAAAAAATCCAAAGAATTCTGTATCAAATCTGAGATAGCACTTCAAAATAAATACAGACCAATGATCTTTAATATTGTTATTACAAAGCAAAGTTAGGCCAAAATGCAGTCGCTGTCTGGAGTCCTGTCTGAAGTTACTTTGCAGTACTATCTGAACTTACTATGCTGTACTATCTAAAGGGAAGCACTGAAAATATCTAGCATCAGTGTTAATGTATAGTCTACTGCAGGGGGTTGTAAGCAGATGACATGGAACAACAGAAGACAGATATGCCGAGAGACTTTTCAAAAAAATGTGTTCTCATCCATCTGGTTTTTGCATGCTGTGTCATTCACTGGTGTCTTTTAATTTCACACTGTTGTTATTTCCCTTATCTACATATTTATACATATGTTTGGGTTTTGTGCTGATGGTATTGTAGACTAGCGTATGCAGCTGTGTTCTGGAAACTGAGTTTATTCTCAAGAATGATGACATTTGGCATCCTCAGGCTTTCATACCTTCACCCTTACACTGCACTAACGTACAGGTTTCCATCGAAACTTTACTAGCACTTATTAGCTAAACAAATAAATCCTGACTTCATATAGTTCTAAACCCTGTACACAGGTAGTGTAAGATCAGCATATGTGTTCGTCTGTAGGACTTAAGGGGAAAACATAATCTCCACATATGTTTTACTTTCTTTTGTGATGAGACTGAAGGCTTAGCTTCTGCTATTTGTGTTTTTTAGTCACCTAAGAAAATAAACTGTATGGCACATACTGGCTCGTAAAAGCATATCCCAGGAAAAAGCTATTTGTTTAGTGATGCATGTTAACTAGCTCTCCAGCACGGTGCTATGTGCAGGTTTGAACGAGGTAGATTCTTAAATGAGTGGTTTGTAGTTTTGGTTTATTCAAGACCTTAGGCCAAAGCACTTTGAGATATCTAGTTTATTGGTTCTTTGTGAGATGCTGTGATTTTAGTGAGAGTTCGGAATGAAAAGATCTGGGTTTTGACTAGAATAATGCTTTGATTTGCACATTCACCTAAAAGTTATGTACTTAGATGTGTTCTAGATCAGATTGCTTAAATAATATTAACACGATTGCTGATACAGTATATTTTCTGAGTTTAATCATACCCATGAAAATTCTATAAGAATATAGTTTAAAATATGTTCACAGTAAATCTTAGTTATCTTTTTTCTTCATGGGTTTTAAATGTTTTAAATTAACTACTTTTTGATACAGTGCTTACAGTAATACTGTTGAATTAGCTATGAAAATAATTCATGCTTTTAATTATGTGCCAGTGATTTTATTTGTTTGTTTCTCTCCTTTTGTTCATCAGGAAAAGAAGAATATATTGCGACATTCAAGGGATCAGAATACTTCTGCTATGATTTATCTCAGAATCCCATACAGAGTAGCAGTGATGAAATAACTCTGTCGTTTAAAACACTTCAGAGGAACGGACTGATGCTTCACACAGGAAAATCGGCTGATTATGTCAATCTTGCACTGAAAAATGGAGCTGTCTCCTTGGTCATTAATTTGGGCTCAGGGGCCTTTGAAGCGCTGGTGGAACCTGTGAATGGGAAATTTAATGACAATGCCTGGCATGATGTGAAAGTAACCAGGAATCTGCGTCAGGTAACAGTACAATGGATACAAGAATAACTGATTGTTATGAGTAAATGCTTGATGAATTGAAAATTGCATAGCGTGACATTGGATATTTAGTAGGCATTTGATTAGTGTTTTATTTGCACAAGGAGGGATATTCCTGCCACACTTGAGCAGGGGCATATCTAGAAAGTAGTAGGGCAAGCAGCTGTCTGAGACAGTATCAGTTAGATGTTTTAAAGACTGTAGGTGTCGTCTAGGTGTTTCTCCAGTACGACTGTCTGCCCTTGCAGTCTTGCATTAGTCAAGGCTGATAACTTTCCATAGGACATGAGTTACTCTAACTGAATCGCAACTCTTTAATTAAAAGAATTGTTTTATCTCTTTTTCTCTTTTAAAAAGTGGGCAGTAAATTTGTTATCAGATAAAGTTTATGCACTGTGTGGAGGCATCTTGCATGTCATGCCACGTTTAACTAAGCAAAAGCAGCAGTAAAAAATATCTGGGAAATTGCATGCTTACTCTTGGTGATGTGGTAGGGGGTTTGTAGTTCAACAGTTAAATTTGAGGTTGGGGTGGGAGGGATGAGGGTAAAGAGAATACCATGTATGTGTGTATACTGTATGTGCTAAGTGT